TTGTTGTGGGGGGCTATGTTGTGTGTCATAGGATGTTCAGCATGGCCTCTACCAACCAGATAGCAGCAGCAACAAACTCCTCCCCACCCCTGCCCCATGTACACACAGTTGGCACCACCAGAAGTATGTCCAGGTGTTGCCAAATCTGATCTAGAGCAAGAAAAAACATGGAGCATGAAAACAGTATATTTTAAATAAAGCTACAGAGGGCTGGGAGCGGTGGCTTATGCCTGTAATCCCAGCATTTTGGAAGGCTGAGGCGGATGGGTAGCTTGAACCCAAGAGTTCGAGACCAGCCTGGGCAACATAGCAAAACCTTATCTCTACCAAAAATACAAAAATTAGCCAGGTATGATTGCACGCACCTGTGGTCCCAGCTACTCGGAAGACTGAGGCGAGAGTGTTGCTTGAACCCAGGATGTTGAGGCTCCAGTGAGCCGTATTCATACCACTGCACTTTAGCCTAGGTGACAGGGCGAGACCTTGTCTCCAAAACCAAATAAATTAAAATTTAAAAATAGAATAAAATGAGCTGTATTCTACCTTATTATGAGTTGTTTCAGCACAACCCCCAAGTCCAGTCAAAGCTTCCTATCCCTGCTCTTTTTCTGTCTGCTTGTGCCTTTTCAATTTATTTAACAAGCCGGGCACAGTGGCTCATGCCTGTAATCCCAGCACTTTGGGAGGCCGAGGTGGGCAGATTGCTTGAGCTCAGGAGTTCGAGACCATCCTGGACAACCTGGAAAAACCCCATCTGTACTAAAAATACAAAAACCAGCTGGGCGTGGTGGTGTGTGCCTGTAATCCCAGCTACTGAGGAGGCTGAGGTGGGAGAATCACCTGAGCCCAGGAGGTTGAGGCTGCAGTGAGCCATGATCAGGCCACTGCACTCCATCCTGGGGGACAGAGGGAGACCCTGTCTCAAACAAACAAACAAAAAACCAAAAGTACCTAACAGGTTGTTTGGAACTCCATTGTATACTTGATTGAGAACAAAGAGCACTCTTTAAACCCGCACAGTGTTCAACTTGGCACTTTGTAAATAATAGTCTGTTTTATTTACTTTTTTGTTTTTTAGAGACAGGGTGTCTAAAAATCCTATGTTAGGATTTAGACTCATCTAAACTGAGGACATAAGTAGTACATAGCCCTGTGCATACTGCTGGAGAAAAGATATTCTGCTTCTTCCCTTTGTGGTCCCTCAGATCATCTCCTTAACCTACGTAGAATAGTGAACAAGGGACAAGCCCAGCCTTTGGAATCACCTAAACCTGGTTTCAAATCCTGGCCCTGTTACCTTAATAGCTTTGTGATTTGGGCGAGTCACAAACCTTTCAGAGCCTCAGCTTTCCCCTCTAGAAACCTACTTTTACTGGTGTTTGCTGTATCATGTTTATTGTTTTACAGCTAAAAAGCCCCTGGATTTCTTATTTTAACAGTGTCCATTTATAGAGCATCACTAGGAATTAGATTCTGTTCTAGACAGCCTGATGCATATATGTATATATGTATGTGTAGATATATTTGTGTGTATACATACACACAAATATACTGCATGTTATTTAATGTCCACAAAAACTCTATGAAGTAGACACTGTGAGCCCCATGTTACAGAGGAAATTCAGGTTCAGACTGACTACAAACCTTCCCAAGATCACACAGTGGTTGAATGGCAGAGCCAGGATCAAACTCCAAAGGCTGTACTTTTCTCACCGTTCTCTGCTGTCTCTGTACTAGCTGGATTCGTCACCATTCATTGCTCTAATTGGACTTTGTTTTCTTTACAGGGCCATGCTATGATAGTGGAGGCTTATCCAAAATAATAGATCCAGAAGTAACCTGAAGTTTCTGTGCAACACTCACACTAGGCAATGCCATTTCAATGCATTACTAAGTGACATTTATAGTTCCTAGCGCCTCTTAGGAAAACAATTCTTGTGGCCTTCTGTTAAATACTTTGCACTTAAGCCTTGCCAGTGTTCTGAGCTTTTCAGTAATCACAGTTTACTGCTCTTTCAGGGATTTCTAAGCTGCCAGAAGCTCACACAGAGATGCGTGGGTGATTGTTTTTGGTCTCTTGTCAGTAAAGACTAAATGAGTGTTTGTAATTGGGAAAGAGGTCAGCTGAGATTTGGAAATTATCTTTGTAATATTTGCAAATTTTACATGTTCCTATCTGTGTCCTAAAGATAAGTGTTCTCTATAAAATACAAACCAATGTGCCTAAATTGATTGTAGAAAAATAATTCAGAATCTAAAGATCACTGAAAACTTACAAAAAAATGTTTAGATACGTAAACATCATGGTGGTCAACCTTAATAAAGTGGAGAAATATTGGAGAACTCTTTGCTTCATTTTTTATTGGTCGGGGAGAGAGGTTCTCTTGGCTTAGGACCAGATTTTCCCTTGAATTACTCATTTGTTACTTCTATTTTGGTCGGTGTCTAGGCTGCTGGGAACTAAAGACAGTCCTGTTTTGATTGATTGATTGATTGAGATGGAGTCTCGCTCTCGCATGGGCTGGAATGCATTTGCGCAATCTTGGCTCTATTTTGGTTAATGGCAAGAATGCTGGGAACATAAAGACAGTCTTGTATGTATGTATTTATTGAGACCGAGTCTCACTCTGTCACCCAGGCTGGAGTGCAGTGGCACAGTCTCAGCTCACTGCAACCTCTGCCTCCCAGGTTCAAGCGATTCTCCTGCTTCAGCCTCCCAAGTAGCTGGGATTATAGGTGCCGGCCACCACACCTGGCTAATTTTTGTATTTTTAGTAGAAATGGTGTTTTGCCATGTTGGCCAGGCTGGTCTTGAACTCCTGATCTCATGTGACCTGCCCACCTGGGCCTTCCAAAGTGCTGGAATTACAGCCCTGAGCCACCATGCCCGGCCTAATTCTGAGTGTTTTTACCAGCAAAGCATGCATTGATTTTGGGCAAATAATTGCAAAGGAAAATTAAAGCACATATATCCACAGAAGTGCAATCAGAAAGGGGACCCCTGATGTTTCTAAAGTGAAAGCATATTATCTGAATTTGTAACCAAAAGATATTTTTGTAATTTATAAAATGAAAACTGTAACTGTCAATGAAGTGAAAGTGAAATGAAGTGGAAATGAGACATGTCTGTGCTGTGAGGCAGAGCCTGCCCTGTCTTAGTCACCACCTGCCTCCTACAGGGCTGGAGCGAGTGTGAGGCTTAGAAACTCCACGATGGGCTGGGCGCGGTGGCTCATGCCTGTAATCCCAGCACTTTGGGAGGTTGAGGCGGGCAGATCACGAGATCAAAGATTGAGACCATCCTGGCCTACATGGTGATACCCCGTCTCTACTAAAAATACAAAAATTAGCTGGCGTGGTGGCATGCACCTGTAGTCCCAGCTACTCGGGAGGCTGAGGCAGGAGAATCACTTGAACCAGGAGGTGGAGGTTGCAGTGAGCCAAGATTGCACCACTACACTCCAGCCTGGTGACAGAGCAAGACTCTGTCTCAAAAAAAAAAAAAAAAAAAAGAATGGAAACACCACGACGGGCCTGCTGAGTTACTGGCTTCTCTCTGAAAGTATAATGAATCCACTTATAGAAACATTTGGGCCAATTTATACACAATTAAAATATTCACACTAATCATCAAGTGAAGGCATTTTGTTTATAAGAAAAGTATTTTCAATGGCATATGATAGCATATCCATTTTTATTTTAACAGAAAATGCCCCTGTCCCATTTTATTAAAAAATCCATGAATTGCATAGTTAACAAAGACCGATTCATTAGACTTTTTCATTTATCTAGTTTAAAAATTTCTCAGAATCCTGTCATCTTCCTTTTGTGAATTCCATAAGTTAATTCAGCCAGATAGATATCTTGGTGTGTTCAAAAAGATTTTCTTAAATCTACCTTCTTTATATCTAGTATTCATTTTTAAATATCAATTAAACTTCACTAATTGACATAAATTCATATTAAACTTTAAATTTTTATAACCTATTGTTACAATGTGCTCGTATGAATGCCTGTTTCTATACATGGGTATGGTTATGAAACTTACACTTTATATTGACTTTTTTAAAGGTTAAAGAAAGAGGGACCAATTAACTTCATCTTTTCCTAAACTGGAAAAGAGACAAACCAAATTCTGCCCTTCGTCTCCAGTGTTTGGAAGATCAGAGGTTCCTGTCAATTAAGTCGTCCTTTCTTCATAACTATTGAAAAAGAAATAATCAGAAATCACTGAATAGGTCAATTAAAACCAATTTCATCAAATCTATTCAAAACATGTATTGTTGTAGTTTAAAACTGGTTGAGAAAGTTTCCTTGTAATTATTCTGCACTTTGATATCTGTTGATTATTTCTGGAGCAAAGGCAGGCTTAATTTATTAGGTGTCTTTAGCTAGTTTTTCCTGCTATTCTTGCTGGATACTTAGAAATGAGAAAGGGTGAGCTGTAAGATAAATAAATGTGACTAAGGGAAATATAAGCCTGCCTTTTTCAAGGGCTGAGCTCTGGAAGGAGGGAAGAGTACACAGCATCAACTCCCTTGCAGGAACATGGCTCTGTGTGTGGTTCATGCTGAAGCATCTGTCTTCCCGTGAAAGAGCTCAGGGCTGGCGAGTGGATACCAAGCCCAGCTTCTGCAGGCTGCCCTCCCCTCTAGATACCAAGCCCACCCATGGCAATCCCTTTGAGGCAAGATTCTCATGATAATTAAAAGTGTGATCATGTGAAAAGGAATTTTCAGAAAAACTGAGTCAAGGACTGGTGGTGATGAAACTCCCCTAGCTTTCTTGGAAAGCAAGAGAAGGTGCTATGCCTTCTGCTCTCCAACATTTCCACCGTCCCCACCCATCTAGCACTGGCTACCCTGAAAACCTGTTTCCTATCCTTTGGTGTGGGCTGGGTACGGAAAGAGAAGCCTTCTGTCCAGAACTTTGCCAGGAGGCCCTTTGCCACACCATCCTCAATCCACCCTGCTCAGGCTGCCCCTGAGAAAGCTGAGTTCTCACCTGGCAGTGTCACTTCCTCCTTTGCTGTGTTCCAAGATGTAGCTTTCATTTGTGGCCTAGGAGGGGGTGGAAAGGCCCAATTGCAGGGCAATTATTATCGTCAACTCTCCCTTGAAGAGGTTGTATTCGTTTTTACTTTCTCAAATGCACTCCTGCCTGGGCTACAGGAATCCTAGAACTTGTGCGCTCAGCTACAGTAACTCCTATGAGTACCGATCCCTCATTTTTCCTTCAAATGCTAACTGGAGGCAGATTTTTAGATGGAAAAACCAGAGGCAAGAGAGTCAGTAGGAGTCCCGGTGATAATCAGGAACCCAGGAACCTGATTCTGATGGCTCTGACTGGGCTGCTTGCTCCACCGGTGGGGAGCTGGAACCTGAAACCTGCTCATTCTAAAAACCAACCCCAGTCTACTCTCAGCTTCTGGCTGTGCCCATGTCCTCCGGGGAGGGCCGTGGAACACCTTCTGACATGCGCTCAGAGGAGAGCTGAGGATCTGAAGCCAGGAACTCACCAGGGAGATTGTGGTGTTGGGGGCTTGGGCGCAGCAGAAGCGTTTGCGCAAAGCTTCTTGTACCTGTGGGAGAGGTAAATGCTGTGCTTAGGCCAGCCACAGTCCCGGCCTGTGGGCTGCAAGTGAGGCAGGGGGTTAGGTTGGCAGACTTACCTTCCTGTCCATGAGGCAACCAAACAATAGGATGAAGACACCCTGAGAAGAGGGACATGGGGGTAAGCTGGTCAAGGAGGAAGGGATTCACCTGAATCAGCGTGCTCCTTCTGTCCTCCTGCGTAATTCACATCCTAAGGCTTCCCATCTCAATTTTCCTGTTACTACCATTTCAAGTGTGTTTCTTATTGTTATGATTAGAAAAGAGATACCAAAGGATCGGGTACTGACAATTTCCTGATTTCTCCAACAATATCAGCTATTATTTTACAGGTAAGAAAACCATAGCTCAGAGAGGTTACATAATTTGTCCAAAGTTATCCAGCTAGTCAGCAGAGGACCTGGGATGCACACCTAGGCCTTCTAAAATTCCTGAACCTATGCTTCTTCTGCTCCACCTTGGTACCTCCTAGAGAAGGGATCGGCCATGACTTAGACCATCTAAAAGTGCAAAAAGCACAGCCACTCCCATGTCACCTACCTGGAAAGTGTTGAGAATGGTGAAGATGTAATGAGGGACCGTGGAGACTTCCTCTAACAGAGTGGCCAGGCCCAGCCCCCAAGTGAGGCCAAAGATGGGTGTGAGAATGAGCAGGGCTTTGATCACACCCAGCAGAGCTTGGCGCTTCTCCGCTGGGGGTCCCTCTGACAGCGAAGGTCTCAGCAACTTCAGCAAGGCCATGGCTAGTACCAGCCCATTCACACCTACGATGGCCAGCACTGGCCCCACAAAGGTGTAGAACGCTCCTCCCTTCCCATCCAGCCAGCATGCCCCCTCCCTCAGGTACTGCCCTTGAGGGAGGTAGAGCCCCAGGGTGACACCCGCAAACCCCAGTGGGCACAGGTAGCCCAGAAGCACCATCAGTGGGAGAACTCTGTGCTTGGGCAGCTGGTGGAAGACAAAGACCAGCTGGTGGGCCAACACCAGGGCCTGCGCCAGCATCCAGAAAAAGGTGGCCAGGTAGAGGAAATGACAGAGGAAGGCGGCAGCAAGGCAGAGCGGGCTGCGGGGCCCGGGAGGGAGCAGGGGGGAGCCCAGGAAGCAGGTGTCGGCAGCCAGCAAGCAGAGCACCATGTTGAGCAGGGCGGCATGGCGGAAGTAGGCGACTTTGTTCCGCACCACGACTCTCCACACCAGCCGGTACACACCCAGGCACACGAGCAGCGCCAGGATGGAAGCCCCCAAGCCCACCTGAGTCAGCAGCGCCAGGGCAGGTTCTTCCGGAGCAGCGTGGGGGGACATGAGGACGGAGAAGGCAGTGAGGTGCTGGCAGAGGCACCGAGCAGTGGGGCTGGCACTGGCTGCCTGTGCCTGGCACCCTTCTTTGGACCAACCCCCCTTGCCCTGGAAGAGATTGTGATCCCAGAAGACACAGTGAGGGGAACCATCCATGTTCCCAAAGTCCATGATGACCTCTCCCTGGCTGAAGGCCCTGTCGCCTGCCATGATGGAAATGACAAGGACCAGGCCGGGAGTGGCATAGAGGGAATCCCCCAGCCCTTGTCCATAGTTTGAGGGCAGAAGGTGGTCCAGTTTTCGCAGCACCAGGCTAGTAATACTTATTTCGGTTCCATTAAGGACCGGTGGGGCCAGGGAGAGCCTGGGAATCTGTGCCTGCAGTGGGGGCTGAGTAGAGAAGGAGATGCTGTAGCCAGCAGGAAACGTGGGTCCGAACAGCTGGCTCTGCTGCAGCACATTGGGCAAGCTGAAGGCGAAGGGCTGGTCCTGCGGGCGCAGGCTGCACGCCAGGGTCTCCACCGCCAGCAGGAGAGTCGAGGCTGCCCAGGGCTTCCAGGCTTGGGCCAGGGTCCACAGAGAACCTGTATCCATGTCTAGGACCTTGTCTGTGGTAATCAGGAGATTCTGCGGCACCCAACAGAAAGATGAGCCCCATGTACTGGCGCCCACAGGACTGAGCTGGGGCAATGAGAACTACAGACCTGAAAGCTTCCCTTCCCAGTCCAGTGTACCACCCGAGGTTGGAGAGAAAAGGGAGAGGAAGGCAGGCCTGTCCAGGGAGACTTTCCTGATGGGAAGAACAGGGAGCTGTTGGGCCAAACACCTGAGGGCATCTTTAAGGATCTGTCCCCTGACTGCACCCAGCCCCTCTGCTGAAAACCCTTCTTCACCCTCCATCCCTTGGGGCCACCCAGGTTCTAAGAGGGGACTTCTCCTATTCTTTGGCCCCTCCAGGTCTGCAAAGCTAGGAATGGTGACCGTGGTAGAGGGTACCGTGTCCTGGAGGTGAGGGCCACAAACATGTCTGTGCGTTCACAGATGCTGTGTATTCCCAAGTGTGAACAGTGTGACATATCATTGCCCTTTGTTACACTTTTGGCTGCAGCTTGTGGGTCACCAACGGAGGCTCATACTGAGAGCCGTTTTAGGTGAGCCCGGCCACACCAAGCACACTTCAGCGTCTCCATGGAAACTTCCTGTCTGTGTCATAGCCGCACGCCTGCCTGCGCACACACGCCTCAGGCCTCATGTCTCCACACTCTTTCCTGCCTTCCAGCCCCCATGTGCTCCCAGCGCCAGGCCTTCTCCAATCCACAGCCTTGGAGACCGCTGTCCGAGAGGAGAAATGGACCAGGAGCAGATCCCTGGACTCTGGAGAGCTCTGCTGCCCGATAGGCCATAGTGATGTCAGAGGGACAGAAGTGCCCACAGGTGAGGAGCCTCGCCCCCACTCCACCGCCTAGCTGGCCCCCACTGTGGCTCAGAGATCTCACCTTCAGGGCACTGCGGTCAAGCTGTATTCTGGCCTTTGCCACCACGTTGGCTAGGTATTTCATGGTGCTCAGCAGGATCAGTAAGTCGGAGGGTGAACTTGCCTCTGCCGCCTGCCCTGGCAGCTGTGCCAAGATCTGTGGCACCTCCTCAGCAGGCCTGCCCTGGCCTGCCTGCAGCAGCTGAGACAGACAAGACAACAGGAAGCGGGACACATGGTGGAATTATGGTTTGAGAAGGGCATCCCAGCCTCATGGAGATCGCTGGCCCCCTCGGGCCCTCCCACACCCACTTCCTGGCTCTGCTTGGCTCCAGCTCAGGGAAGCTGAACAGCCTGTGGGCTGGGCCTCAGGAGGAAAGGATCTGCAAGCTGGGTCCTAGAGAGGCCAAGGTGGGCCGTGGAGGGAGCCTGTGGGCAGCAGGACAGAAGCTTCACCTTGGCTCTATTGAACAAGGCCAGGAGCCTCATATCTGTGCAGCTGCTGTTAATGGGCCCCCAGACTCCATCAGCCCTGCAGAGTCGCCTCACTGCGCCCCTCTTGCCCTCAGGACATGGTGCCTGTGCCACGTGGCCAGCTTTGGTGACATTCCAGGTAAGCACCGAGGAGTCCTCAGGGCAGGTGATGTCTCCATCTGAAGAATGATGAGCAGGGGGTACTCAGCAATCACAGCCTCACCCCAGCCTCTCCTTGGGCAGGAGCCTGTGCCGGCCCCGGAGTCCAGTTCTGTTGCCCAAGGCAGGGACGTGCCATGCAAGAGAGCCCTGCTCCCAAGCCAAGCAGCTGGCGCCGGCCCACTGGATCCCAAGCCCTACGCACCCTGGATGATGGTGATGGAGATGGGGACCCTGAGTGGAGCCAGGCCTGGGCTCTGCAGGTCACAAGTATACGTGGTGTCGGCTGCCGGGCAGCGCTGAACAGCCAGCACAAAGCACGCAGAGCCTGACGCGTTGAAGGAGAAGGCTGAGAGCAAAACGAGAGAAGGGAACTGTCCCTGGGCCGGGGACAGGCCTGGAACCCAGCAGGCTCCGACACACTGTTTCAGTCTTTTTAGCAATTCAGAAACAGGGGAAGCAGTGGGGAAGAGCCAAATGCTGGGTCGGCTCCACTTGGACAGTGGGCGAGAGCTTGGATTTTGCTGGAGGGGATGGGGATCTCTAACAAGCTCTAGGACTCAGTTTCCACCTTTCCTCATTTGTAAAATGGGGACTATCATCAAACTAATTCCACAGAGAGTTAAATGAGGTTGTGTAGATGACAGCATTTTGCAGAAAGTTTTCTCTGCGTGTGTGGTTATGTGATGGCAATAGACGTGGGATGGCTCTGATGGGGTCGGAAATGGCCTTGGGCCCCATTCTCTGGTTGAACTGTGGCCTGTTTCTCATGAGCTGAAGGCCCAGCTGCCTGGAGGAGACAAGCTGCCCACTGGTCCTTCTGACCCCTGACTGCTGTCCCCTTCTCATACCTCTGCTGCCCTCTCCGGGCCTCCAGGCCGCAGTGTAGACCAGGTTTGTGCTGGGGATGCAGCAGCTCAGCTGGAAGCCAGGGGAGGTGGCACAGGAGATGGACAGCCGGTCTGGAAGTCGAGCCACATCTGTCGCCTTCAAGGGCACCTTCACCACCTTGTGCAGGCTCCACCTGAAGCCCTGGGCCTCGAAGCTGCTCATGTACTCACCTGCAGACACGCGTCGGCTGCACATTGGGGCTCCTCTGGGCCCCCCTGCACCACAGAATCTGCTGCTTTCCACACCACAGCCTCGCTCCTGTCCTCTGCCTGCCACCCAGTGCTTAAAACCAGCAAGAAAGATCCCAGAATGGCCCCTTTGGTGGACATTCCCTGTCCCCAAGAAGAATTTCTAGGAGGTAGAAGAGATTTCTAAAAGAGATCTCTTCATTTTGTATTTATTTATTTTTTGGCACGGAGTTTTGCTCTGTTGCCAGGTGCCAGGCTGGAGTGCAGTGGCATGATCTCAGCTCACTGCAGCCTCCACCTTCTGGGTTCAAGCAATTCTTCTGCCTCAGCCTCCCGAGTAGCTGGGACTACAGGCATGTGCCACCATGCCCAGCTAATTTTTGTATTTTTTACCAGAGACAGGGTTTCACCATGTTGGCCAGGATGGTCTCGATCTCTTAACCTCATGATCTGCCCGCATCGGCCCCCCAAAGTGCTGGGATTACAGGCGTGAGCCACCGCGCCTGGCCAAGATCTCTTTTTTACCAGCACAAGCCCACGAATTCCAAAATGAACCCCTCTCCCCAGAGCAGATGCCTTCCTGCACCACCCCTGCCATTTTAGCATATTGAAAAACATGGATCTGCTTTCAGCAGAAATGGAGACCATGATCTCCACATTCTAGTATTTTTGTTAACAGAGACATTTTTATGAAAAATAACTACATTTTCCAAAACATAATTAGGAGAGTGACTTTGTTTTACATGTTTGCAAATCTGGCCCATGTCTGGGTTCTCCCATCTGTTTTTGCATTCAATCTCACGATAGCCGTGTAGCCTCTGGAAAGGGTCCTGTTTACCCCCAAGGAAGTGGCAGTGAAAGGGGCAGATGACATCTTAGGATATTAGGACAGTAGTTGTGACTTTGTGAACCCTGAAAAGGGTCTCAGAAGTCCCAGATCACAGTGAAAAAGTTGGCCAAATTTAGAATTTGACACATTGCAGTTTTTTACACCAAGGGATCTCTTAGCCTTTGTTTCCCCAGAATGGTAAACGGAAAGATGAAAAGGGTAAGGAAGAGGCAGAAAGAAAAGAGGGAAGGGGAAGGGAAGGAGACGTGGGAGGAAGAGGAGGAGGAAGAAGGGAAACAAGAGGAAAGAGAAGGGAGGCAAGGAGGGGAAGCCAGGCTGGCTACCTGCCCAGTGACGGGACATGTTTGCGATGCTGAGGGCAGCCTGGCCCTGGCTGGAAGTCACAGACACCTGTGTCCCTGGCTGCAGGAGGATGGGGCTGGGGCTCCTTGGGTGCCTCAGGAACCAGCTCAGGTTGGTGGCCTCCTGGCTCAGAAGGAGAGTCAGGCTCAGCGTGTTGCCAGGCATCTGCAGCTCGGAGTTCAGGCTCAGGATCCCGGGGACTGCAGGGAGGCAAGTGACAGTGGATCCCTAGAGGAGGGACTCATGGCTCTCAGATGCAGCTGAGCAATTGCTCCTCCCCTGACTCTGGAGCCCATTCCTCCATACTCCCTCCCTAGCTTTTTAAATTTTTCTTTTTGTCCCTGGTTGGGCATCTGAATGTGGCCTGCTGCAATCCAGCCTGGAAGACTCTATCTGTTATTGGAAAGCAAAGTGAGAACATTTCTGGTCTGTGTCTCTCCCTCCCCCAGGTATCTTGGGGCTGCTGGAGCTGCTTCCTGCATCCTTAGGTAAAAAGCAGGGTCATGGCTGGGAGTGGTGGCTCACGCCTGCAATCCCAGCACTTTGGGAGGCTGAGGTGGGTGGATCATCTGAGGTCAGCAGTTTGAGACTAGCCTGGCCAACATGGTGAAACTCCGTCTCTACTAAAAATACAAAAATTAGCCAGGCATGGTGCCAGGTGCCTATAATCCCAGCTATTCGGGAGGCCGAGGCAGGAGAATTGCTTGAACCTGGGAGGTGGAGGTTACAGTGAGCCAAGATCATACCATTGCATTCCAGCTGGGCAGCAAGTGTGAGATTCCATCTCAAAAAAAAAGGGCGGTTACTCAAGTACTTTCTCTCCTTGTCCTTATGTCTCTGGACACCCCGTCATTAGTCTCCCTACTCAGGTTCCAAGCTCAAGGCCTGTGATCTGCTATGATGGCTGGCTTTTTCTCCTACCCAGAAGAGCAGCTGGGCTTGGGCCAGCTGGCCAAACTACAGGTTCAGAGAGGAAGAAACCACTGAGAGCATTTATTTCACTTAAGGCCACTGGTTTCCAAGTTCCCAACCTTCCTCACCAGGTGGCAGCAGCTGGCAGTACCCGGGTTCGGGATGGCTAAAGATAAGGCAGTCACAGGGCTGGTGGTTGTGGGGGCTTTGACAGGGAGGGTGATGGAGGCAGATGCTGGTGTTCCACTGGTACCCAGAGACGCAAGCGCAATAGAAATACCCCTCGTGGTTGACACGACACTCTGTGACAGAGAGAGGGAAGAAGGAGTGGGCAGGCTGTCTGAGGAAGCTGGGCGGGCAGGGCCAACACCTGCCTGAAGCCCGAGAGGCTTTAGGCCTGGGTATCTGGCCCAATCCCCAAGCTCCAGGTGCCTCAGTCAGGCCCATGCATCAGGACTGCCCCTTCAGTCAGGACTTGAAGCAGCAGAGGTCACACAAGGCAAGGGAATAGGCTGAAGGTGGAGATCTGGGCCCTATTGTCTGTTCCTTGGGCCATCAGGCAAAGTTAGAAGATGGGGGATGGGGGATGGGGCAGGCAGGGAAGGGTCTGTCTGGTAGGGAGGTGAGGAAGGAGCTGGACCATGGAGAGAGAACCAGGCAGTCCTTCCTCCAGGAAATACAGAGGGGCTCCCAGCATCTCAGGCAAGCTGGCTGCAGGAGGCCAGGGAGCCCATGTTCATTCACTCTCAGCCCCCTTCCCACACAAGTGGTACCTGTTGTGAGTCTGACACCAGTGAGAAGAGGCCTTGGAGCAGAGGAAGCTAAGGCAGCGGGGAGAGCCAGGGTCCTGGAGACCACAGGGGGCCAGGTCTTATCTGAAAAGTCCAGATGTACATAGACGGAGACCAGCACTGATTCTACAGGAGCAGAGGGGACAGCTGGCAAGGACAGGCAGTGAGGCCACAAGCCCTCTGGATTCTCTCACCTTACTGGCTAGTCCCAGGAATGCAGGACAGAACCCCTCCCACATCCTGTTCAGTGCATAGAGACAGGGCTCAGGAAGGGAACTCCTCCCTTAAGCACAGTGCCTTCAGATACATGGCTTCATGCCTTCCACCCAGCAACCTCTATTTTATGGATGAGGCTCCAAAGACAAATGAGTTAGTCTCCAGGCCTCACCACTAGAGAACTGGTCACGGACCTGTCCGCCTGTGATCACAGCCAGTCCTCTCTCTCCGCCACCACTCCCTCGCTGCGTCCGCCCTCTCCTCTGTGGATCCTGGGTTCCTACCTCATTCCCTGCTCCTATCTCCTCTACCTCCCTCCTCCTCCTGTCCATCCACTCACCCTCTGCTTCACTCTCTTGGTCCAGGAGCGGCCCCGATCCAGATTCCCCTCCAGCCTGACTCTGTCCCTGGAACAGAACACAGAGGAGACCTCAAGTCCCTTCCAAAGACACCTCAGGGGCCAGCCTGGCTAGTCTCAGCCAGCATGACTCAGTCTCGACAGCCCGCTTCCGCTAGGGGGTGCCAGAGATGCAACCCCAGGAACCCTGTTAGAGCCCACAGATCCCACACAAGACCAGGAACCAGGCACGCCCTGGGAAGTCAACATGCTTTGTTTAATTCCTCCCTAAGTTTACCTGTCCCTGGGCCTCTAGGCTAATTGAAATGGCTGGCTCTGGAGCTCCAGCAGTGGGGCTGGACAGAGCTGGCTGGGGCCCAGGCGCCTGGGGAGCTTATTCCTTCTGTAGGGTTTGACAGCAGGGTGAGCAGCCTCTTTCCTTAGTCTTTGGTTCCTGTACATTATTTCCTCACCAACTCTTCCTCTGTCAGGGTGAGGGTGGAGGTCTGGGTCCACACTGTCTCTTGGGCCATGGGCCAAAGCTAGAAGATAGGGAGATGGGCCAGGCAGGGAAGGATCTGTCTGGTAGGATGGTGAGGAAGGAGCTGGGCCAAGGAGAGAGAACCAGGCAGTCTTTCCTCCAGGAAATCTGGAGGGGCTCCCAGTGCCACAGACCTGAGCCCTGTCCATTTGCACCTGCCTGTGCGTGTGGCTATCTATCCAATACCAGATATCGATAGAGATAAGAATATGGTTAAGAGATGAATATAAGCTGGTCACAGTGGCACGTGCCTTTAGTCCTGGCTACTTGGGAGGCTAGGGTGGGAGGATCACTTGAGCCCAGGAGTTCAAGTCCAGTCTGGGCAACATGGTGAGAGCATGTCTAAAACAAGGTATAGATATAGACAAATATAGATACAGATACAGATATATATTTACATGAAGATAGAGATTTAGTAGTATAGATAGATTTTGGCTTAGTGATACATAGATATAGACACAGGCATAGATACAGCTCTCTACTGGGTAGAACACAGATGGAAAAGCACCCTCTAGACTCTGATGCCTTTCCTCAGATTCCCTCCAATACTCTAAGACAATAGTTCCCAAATCTACAAAGCTTTTCTTTTTCTTTTTCTTTTCAAATGACCAGCTTGACTGGACAAGCCATTATCCCAAGTGCAGCAGGTGTCATAGAAGTCTGCAGGGACTCAAATAAGGAAACAGAAGCTATCCCCCACACCCAGGAGAACAAGACTGAGTTCTCAGAGATCGCATAACAAAGCGGGCACTTTCCTTACACACCACCTCCTCTCCCCTCCACCCTTTCCTGCTACCTATCCTTTCATTCCATGCCTTGTCTCTCCCAACCAGAGGTCCCCACTGTCGCCTCTGCAGACCTTTCCTGGGTCTCACCCCAGTCTCACTTACGGGTTGGGATGCTTGGACAACTGGTGACCCCATCAGGGGAAGAGTCATGGCCAGGAGCAGCAGCGGGGCAGCTGAACAGACCATGGCTCAGTGAAGCCTTCCCTACAAGCCCATGATGCAAATTTCTGCAGAGAAGAGCTGGCGGGGCAGTATGCAGATGGGATGGGAGGGAAGAGGGGAGGGAGCCAGGGCTGCAGTTACAGAGGAAGCGCTACAGCCTGAGACTCTGAGTCAAATGAGGATCCAGGTCTCTGTGGGGGCCACCTGGAGCCCATGTGCTCCAGTGAGAATGGTGCCCAGGCTCTTCTTGGGCTCTGGACCAAAAGCTCAGAGAGCAGGAGAGGCTTAGGGGTTTGAAGTCACAACCAGCAACATGTCAATAAGCCAGGTTCAGTCATGTTCCCAAGGACCTGGGAAATCTGGATTGTTCTGGAACTCCTCAGAAGCTGGATCACTGATTGAAGAGTCAAGGTTGGAAAATAAAAATAAAAAAAAAAAAAAGATAAAAATATGAGAGCTAATTTTTACTCTAAAATAATTTCCAGATAGACCAGAATCCTCCCATCTTCCCTTTCTCGCTCCCTCCCTTCCTTCCTTCCCTCCTCTCTCTTTCTTTTTTCCTTTCTTTTTCTTTCTTTTCTCACTCTCTTTCCTTCCTGCCTTTCTCTCTCTCTCCCTCTTCCCTTCTTTCTCTCTCTCTCTTTCTCTCTCAATCTCTCACTTACTCTCACTCTCGCTCTTTTTCTTTCTTTTAGAAACAAGGCCTCCCTCTCTTGCTCAGGCTAGAGTGCAGTAGCATGATCAAAGCTCATGATTGTAGCTCTGCATAGCCTCAAACTTTTGGGCTCAAGCTATCCTCCCACCTTAGCCTCCCAAATAGCTGAGATTACAGGTGTGCACCACGGCACTGGCCTAGAGTCTTAAATGTAAAAAAGGATCTGAGAAAATACTAGAAGAAATTATCAAGTTATTTCATGAAATAATTTTGAAGTGAGAAAGTTTTTTTTTAAACAAGACATAAAATGGAGAAGCCAAAAAGGCAATAAATTTGACTGTCTAAGAACTTTTAAGTTTGGCCTAAAAAGAATAATTTTCTCAACATAGGAGCTTTCTTCTAGTGTCCATATCAATAAAATAGAAAATAGGCAAAAGATGGGAGCAGGCAATTCACTGAAGAAGGAATAGAAATAGTTTGATAATGGCTGGGTGTGGTGGCTCACTAACCTCAGGTGATCCACCTACTTTTGGGAGGCCAAGGTGGGTGGATCAACTAAGGTTGGGAGTTCGAGTCCAACCTGCCCAACATGGCAAAACCCTGTGTCTACTAAAAATACACAATCAGCCAGGAGTGGTGGCGGATGCCTGTAATCCCAGCTACTTAGGAGGCTGAGGCAGGAGAACTGCTTGAACCTGTGAGGAGGAGGTTGCAGTGATCTGAAATCATGCCATTGCACTCCAGCCTGGGCGACAAGAGTAAAACTCCATCTCAAAATAAATAAATAAATAAATAAATAGTTTGATATGTCTGTGTCCTCTGTTATAATGATCTCCTTGATCCAAGGGACAATGTCTTACAGATAATTATCTGTGTAATCCCAATGCCTAACACTGCTGACACATAGTAGAGAATGAATACATGTTTCTGGAAAGAACAAAAGAATGGAGAAACCAGTGTATAATAAATGAAAGGACAGAGGTAGAAAAAAGAGAAAAGTGGGCTCGGGAACTAAGAAACTACTGTAGCTTGCAACATCAAATAAGTAAGCTCAGAGGCCTTAAAACAACAGAGTTCACATTTATACAAATCAAAATAAGAAGATACTATTTCTCACCTGCTAATTATCAAAATATAAAATATTGATTACATTTAGTATTAGAAGTATAGTTGGCCAGACACAGTGATTCATGTCTGTAATCCCAGCTCTTTGGGAGCCTGAGGTGGGCAGATCACAAGGTCCAGCCTGGCTTTGGCTGCCTGCACCACTGTCACCTGGCTAATTTTTTGTATTTTTAGTAGAGTCAGTGTTACGCAATCTTGGCCAGGCTGGTCTCGAACCCAGAAGGCGGAGCTTGCAGTGAGCCAAGATCACGCCACTGCACTCCAGCCTGGGTGACAGAGCAATAATCTATCTCCAAAAAAAAAAAAAAAAAAAAAGGAGAAAGAAAGCTGATGGAGCTGGAGCTGGAGCAGTCCTCCCTATTCTACTCCTAGAACATAATTTTCCCTAATTAATTCCCAACTCATCTCTCATCTTAACCACTTTGAGTTCATGACTGATAGTGAGAATAGCAAGGAGAACAACATATTCCTACTTCAAGTAAAGCTGAAGTGTCCAAAACTATTGATAGATTTGAGATTTATTTTACACTTTTTAGACTGTTCCTCTAATTTTAGAAAAGTTTGAAACATTTTTGCATGTGCAGAAGTATCTAGAAAAAGACTGGAGGGAAATGCTGCAGGCTTTCCAAAGTGTTGAGTTTACCTCAGTACCCCCCAGAGCCTAGCACCGTGCATTGGAGGCCTTAGGTAATATTTGTATCAAATAAATCAATCAATAAATGAAATATACCAAGACATAAACTGTGATTGTAACTAAATGGTAGGATTTGGTATGTTTTTCTGCTTTTCTGTATTTTGTAATTTTGTATTCTGTATCGGAAAAGATCTTAATAAAAATATTAAATCTGGCCAGGTGCAGTTGCTCACACCTGTAATCTAATCCCAGCACTTTGGGAGGCCAAGGCAGGTGGATCACCTGAGGTCAGGAGTTCAAGACCAGCCTGGCCAACATGGTGAAACCCTGTCTCTACTAAAAATACAAAAAAATTAGCTGGGGGTGGTGGCGGGTGGCTGTAATCCCAGTTACTCGGGAGGCTGAGGTATGAGAATCGCTTGAACCTGGGAGGTGGAGGTTGCAGTGTGCCAAGATCATACCACTGTACTCCAGCCTGGGCAACAGAATGAGACCCCGTCTCAAAAAGAAAAAAAACTATATCTATCTATCTATCTATCTATGTATATAAAATATTACAGTCTTATGGACCAATCAGGTTCAGAGTCCTCTAGACTTGCCCAAGTTTCATGGGATGTCAGGAAGCACCCACAGGCTGAATCAGGTCTTAGTCATAGAGCAGAGTTCAGGTGAACAGGGACTTATTGCTGCCACCTACCTACTCCCAAGTCCAAAGTGAACCATTAGGTGATTGGCCTTTGTCCCTCCAATATACATAATGATTTTTGGAAACTAATAAGTTTTTAACAGCTGGCAGCTTCTCTGAACTCCTAGGTTGCTTCCTGGACACCTCTAAACATGGATTGTGAAGGTTGCTAGTGAGCGGTGCTCCCTTATTTCATTTTTATTTTTTAGAGACAGGGTCCCGTTATGTTGTTCACGCTGGCCTCAAAGTCCTGGATCAAAGCAATCCTCCCACCTCAGGCTGCCCAAGTAGTTGGGATTACAGGCGTAAGCCACCACTGGACCAGGTCTCCATTACTTCTTTTTTTTTTTGAGATGGAGTCTCGCTGTGTTGCCCAGGGTGGAGTACAGTGGTGTGATCTCGGCTCACTGCAACCTCCACATCCCAGGTTCAAGTGATTCTCCTGCCTCCGTCGCCTAAGTAGCTGGGATTGCAAGCATGTGCCACCTTGTCTGGTTAATTTTGTATTTTTAGTAGAGACGGAATTTCACCATGTTGGCCAGGCTTGTCTCAAACTCCTGGCCTCATGATCCACCTGTCTCAGCCTCCCAAAGTGCTGGGATTACAGGTATGAGCCACCGTGCCTGGCCTCCATTACTTCGTATAAAAAGTAACTGCTGGGACCAGGTGTGGCAGCTCATGCCTATAATCCCAGCACTTTGGGAGGCCGAGGCAGGTGGATTGCTTGAGCCCCAGGAATTCAAGACCAGGGCAACATGGCAAAACCTTAATATGGCAAAACGTCATCTCCACAAAAAAGCATCTGGATGTGGTGGCACATGCTTGTAGTTCCAAGCTACGCAGGAGGCTGAGGTGGGATGATCACCTGAGCCCAGGAGGTCAAAGCCACAGTGAGCTGTGATCATGTCACTGCACTGCACTCCAGCCTGGGCAACAGCCAAGGCCATGTCTAAAAAAGAAAAAAATGGAAACTGCTGGGATTGCTACACATTAGTTGCCTCTATGAACCTGACATTGAATCTTGGTGTATTTTTTTTTTAACTTTTATTTTAGTTCAGGGATGAAAGTGCAGGTTTGTTACATAGGTAAACTTGAGTCATGGGGGTTTGTTGTACACATTATTTCATCACCCAGGTATTAAGACTAGTACCCATTAGTTATTTTTCCTGATCCTCTCCCTCCACCCTCTGAAAGGCCCCAGTGTGTGCTGTTCCCCTCTATGTGTCCACGTGTTCTCATCGTTTAGCTCCCATTTATAAGTGAAAATATGTGGTATTTGGTTTTCTGTCCCAGTGTTAGTTTGCTAAGGATAATGGCCTCCAGCTCCATCCATGTCCCTGCAAAGGACATCTCATTCTTTTTTAATTTTATTGTAGAAATGGCGTCTCACTATGTTGCTGAGGCTGGTCTCAAACTCCTGGGCTCAAATGATCCTCCTGCCTTGGTCTCCCAAAGTTCTGGGATGATAGGTGTGAGCCACTGTGTCCAGCAAGACTGATGTACTTTAAAGATGAGGGAAAGGGCCTTGAGCCAAGGATTGATGACAGCCTGCAGATGCAGGAAAGAGCAAGGAAATGGATTCTTCCCTGCAGTTTCCAGAAGAAATTCAAATCAGCTGACATCTTGATTTTACTTCTGTAAGACTCATTTCACATTTCTCAGTCTCAGAACACATTACATTACATTACATAACACATTGTCCTGTCACTACATTTGTAGCTGTATTTATAGCGGCCATGGTAGTAATTTAATACAGAGCTCATGCAATAACTTTTTTTAAAAAAAAATTTGTTTTATTTTTTTGAGACAGAGTCTCCCTCTGTCGCTCAGGCTGGAGTATAGTGGCGTGATCTTGGCTCACTGCAACCTCCGCCTCCTGGGTTCAAGCGATTCTCCCGAGTAGCTGGGATTACAGGTGTCAGCCACCATGCCCTGCCACAATAACTTTTAAATTTTGGTTATTATATATTTCAGTTCCAAAATTCCCATTTGGTT